GGGTGACCCCAGGGGAGGTGCGGATGCCCTCGGGGAAGACGGCGCGACCCAACATCACCGACAACAAGGATGGGACGGTGACGGTGCGCTACGCCCCCACCGAGAAGGGGCTGCACGAAATGGACATCCGCTACGACGGCAACCACATCCCCGGTGAGACCGCGGCGGGCACTGGGCGGCACTGGGAGTGGGCTGACCCAGGCTGATGCCACCTCGCCCTGGTTGGGCACCCACGGGTTGAGCAGCCCCCATGGGGTGGGGTGTCCCTGTGGTGTCCCAGTGTTGAGCAGCCCCCCGTGTTGTCCCCATGGTGGGGTCCCTGACCACCGTCCCCCGTGTCCCCAGGGAGTCCCCTCCAGTTCTACGTGGACGCCATCAACCCCCGGCACGTGAGCGCCTACGGGCCGGGGCTGAGCCACGGCATGGTCAACAAGCCCTGCACCTTCACCATCGTCACCAAGGATGCCGGTGAGGGTGAGTGGGGGACACCAGGGGGGGTGGAGACCCTCCATGCCACCGGGAGGTGTTGGGAAGGGGCTGGAGACCCCCGATGCCTCCTCACACCCATCCTGTGCCCCCCAGGTGGGCTGTCGTTGGCTGTGGAGGGTCCCTCCAAGGCGGAGATCACCTGCCAGGACAACAAGGATGGGACCTGCACCGTATCCTACCTGCCCACCGCCCCCGGGGACTACAACATCATCGTCCGCTTCGATGACAAGCACATCCCCGGCAGTCCCTTCACCGCTAAGATCACAGGTGAGACAGGACCCACGGGATCTGGGGGAGCCCACCATGGTCCTTGGGACACCCATGTGGCCATGGGGACAGCTGCGTGGTCACAGCCATGGAGGCACCTGCATAGTCATGGGGACACCCATATGGCCATGGGGACTCGTGTGTGGTCATGGGGACACCGGCATGGCCACCAGGAACCCACGGCCTTGGTGTCCCTGGCCGTCCCTGGCCACCAGGTTCCCATCACATGGCCATGGAGACCTCATGGGGCCTTGGGGACCCTGTTACACAGCCATGGGGACACCATCACATGGCCATGGGGACCCCTGCGTGGTCATGGCCGTGGAGGCACCTCCATGGCCATGGGGACACCTGTGTGGTCATGGGGACACGTGCATGGCCACCAGGAACACATGGTGTTGGTGTCTCTGGCCATCCCTGGCCACCAGGACCCCATCACATGGCCATGGGGACCCTGTGGGATCTTGGGGACACCACCACGTGGCCATGGGGACCCTGTCCAGTTCCAGCCATGGGGACCTGGTCCATCTGGGCATGGGGACACCTTCATGGTCACAGCCATGGAGGCACCTGGATGGCCATTGGGAACCCATCACACAGCTGTGATGTCCCCATCCATCCCTGGCCACCAGGATCCCATCACGTGACCCGAGGGACCTCGTGGGGACATGTGCTGTCCCCCCGGCCCCACTGATGGCCTCTCCCCAGGGGACGACTCCATGCGGACGTCGCAGCTGAACGTGGGCACCTCAACGGACGTGTCGCTGAAGATCACGGAGACGGACCTGAGCCTGCTGACGGCCAGCATCCGCGCGCCCTCGGGCAACGAGGAGCCCGCCTGCCCAACCGCCACATCGGTGCGGGGACAGGGGACACCGTGGGGCTGGGAGGACCTGGGCGCAGGAGAACTGGGACATGGGGTGTGCGGTGGTGGGAACACAGGGGGATGTGGGACAGCAGATGGCAGGGCTGTGGGGTCATAGGGCTTGGTGGCCTCATGGCACTGGGTGCCCAGGGCTTGGTGGCCACGGCCAGGGCACGCTGGTGGAGGTGACCAAGGGCTGGAGATGGTGGTCAAGGGCTGGAAGTATTGGCTGGGGACTGGTGTTGATGGCCAAGGGCTAGTGGTGATGGCCAAGGGATGATGGAGGTGTTGGCCAAGGGATGATGGAGGTGGCCAAGGGCTGGAGGTGGTCGCCAAGGATGGTGGTGGTGGTGGTGGCTGAGGGCTGGGGGAGGTGGCCAGGGGCTGGTGGAGGTTTTTGATGGTGGTCTCCCCCCCAGGCATCTCCTTCACGCCCAAAGAGGTGGGCGAGCACGTGGTGAGCGTGAAGAAGAGCGGGCAGCACGTCACCAACAGCCCCTTCAAGATCCTGGTGGGACAGTCGGAGATCGGGGACGCCAGCCGCGTGAAGGTGTGGGGCAAGGGGCTGGTGGAGGGACACACCTTTGAGGTGGCCGAGTTCATCGTGGACACGCGCAGCGCCGGTGAGACCATGTGCCCCCGGGGCCATCAGTGGGGTGGGGTAGTCACTGCCGTGGTGTGGTCATGTCCAGGAGGAGATGGTGGCCATGGCTATGGCCAGGAGAGGATGGTGGCCAGGGATGGG